AGTGTTCAGGGAATTTATCGCTCGGCCTCTAGTTGGTCGAGCGGTAAATTCCCTGAAGTTATTCCTTGTCGCTGAAATTATTAAACCCAACGACAAAATGTTGGAGTACTAGGGGCGTTTCGAACATTAAAGAAGTTTCGGTGCACTCGTTGCGTCAAAATAACAGAGGATTCTTTTTCAAAGTAACTTCCAGCAATTTTTAATTTTGTTTAGACGCTAACATTTCCATCACAAAATCATCTAATGTCGACTATGCATGCAGTTTCAAAAAGTAAAAGAAGAAAGATGACACAACAGATAAATTATTTACTGCTTAAATCGTGACGGTAATTTTGCAATACCGTATAGGTTTAAAAATGTTTTTCACGTTCACATCATCTGAAAAACTCCAGTAGGAATGGAATGTATCCCGTCAAAGTAAAACTCTTCTCATTGTTACAGTCGTACTGAAATTCTTTATAACGTTGTTTGATAGCAGCAGCTGTGCCCGAGTTCTCACAGGAAAAACAGGTACTTTTTGTTACTTGCTTTCGTGTTCTGAAATGAAAATTCGAGATAGAATATTTTCTCCATTATGGCACTAAAAACTGGAGTTATTAGGCCTACGCGGTGAATATTTACGTACTGTAAAAACTGACTTTGAATCTGGCATGTCATTGTCAATTTCTACGGTTATGACTCGCATCAAAGCAATACGAAAGACAAGGTACATTCTAAATTTTGATGTTGCAATCAAAACAGATATTGTTTTAGACGGCAGGGTTAAAAATTAAGAGTTTATATAGCCTGGAAACAATAAAGCACAAGTCATGAATATGATTAATAATTTTTCCATCCCCATTTTACGAATTTCGTATAACGTAACATGAAAATTTTGAAGAAGGAAGCTTTGCCGGAAACATAAGATTACAGGGGCAAGTCTGTTTAACATTGAGTAAATGACTATCCAGCTAAATTGGCCAGATATCGATAAACTGGCGATGGTTTGGGCCACCAAGTTGAGCGAAAAATCGCCAAAAGTCGCCAAACTTGGCCACAACTTGGCGACGTTTTGGTACGGTCGCTGTATAACTAAAACTGGTAATGTACTTAAATAACTGTAATTGATCCCTATGTGCAACTGTAATCGTATCCGGCCCTTACATGTACCTTTAACCGTATATGCCTTCCAGTAATTTCGAGAAATAGAAAGTACTAGAGATTTTTTGGCGGCCAGGCGAAAACTCTTAAGACTGGAGAGAAGCAATTGCTCTCAGTTGTTTATTTACAGCTGAATTCGGAATACTGAGACATCCATGAGAGATTCACTTTTTAGATGCCCTTTGCATTGCGTTGTGTTTAACGTTCTCAGTAGTTTGAAGTGCAACTGTTGATTGTGCTCTGTGATACTGAGAACCAGTTGTACGATTATTTTTGCGGAAATTTCTAGAAATGTAAAGCGTTTTTTTTTTGGGGGGGGGAGAATAACTTTTTTGAGGATAAAATAAATTTTATCAAGCTATCATCAGTCCTGTGTGCATTGAATCTATTACGATCCCGTACACAGGCAGCAATACTTTATTTCAGCAAAAAATCCGCTATTTACACAGTAGCTTTAATTTTGACATGACATTTTCACTAAGCTTAGAAAATATGGGCCTACCAATGACCGAGCAGTAAAAGTCGCTGAACACCGGTAGTTCGGTCGGAGATTCGAATCCCGAGAACGAGCTGGCTTCATGGACGTTTTCGTGGCTTTACCCTGTAGAGTCATTAGGATTTTTTTAGAGGCCAGCAAGATGAAAAATTAGCAAACACCTTCGCCGGGAATCGAACCACGGACCTCTGAAATACCGGCTCAGTGTGCAGAACCACTACACCACGAAGGACGCTAGGAAAGTGGGAGAAATACCTTATATACTCCCCTTTTTAAAGCGCGACTAGGGTTTTAGGGGACCTAGTCGCCAAATCCTGGGCGCGGAGAATTATCATCCACAACCCTTTTAGTTCTCTAAAAAAATCAGAGTCATTAGGATTTTTTTAGAGGCCAGCAAGATGAAAAATTAGTAAACGCCTTCGCCGGTAATCGAACCACGGACCTCTGAAATACCGGCTCAGTGTGCAGAACCACTACACCACGAAGGACGCTAAGAAGGTGGGAGAAATACCTTATATACTCCCCTTTTTAAAGGGCGACTAGGGTTACAGGGGACCTAGTGGCCAAATCCTGGGTGCGGAGAATCATCATCCACAACCCTTTTAGTTCTCTAAAAAAATCAGAGTCATTAGGATTTTTTTAGAGGCCAGCAAGATGAAAAATTAGCAAACGCCTTCGCCGGGAATCGAACCACGGACCTCTGAAATACCGACTCAGTGTGCAGAACCACTACACCACGAAGGACGCTAAGAAAGTGGGAGAAATACCTTATAACCCATGTGTAACAGGTATACTAGCCAGTTTCCCTTAAAAAGTCCTCCACGACGATATTCCACCTCCTCCTAGCTACTAGCTTTGGCGCAATCGCATAAACCAAACCAAACCTTACAAAATATGATACTCATACGCAACTACTCATTGCTTACATGAATACAGAATTACGCAGATTGCTATAAATATTGTTCCGTGCATATGCGTTCGTAACAGATTGAACGCACATAGGTCCGATGATAGGTTGATAAAATTTATTGTATCAAAAGAAACACTTCAAAGTTCTGCAATTTTCTGCAAAAATAGTGGCATAACTCTTTACTGTGTCATAGAGTCCAATCAGTAGTTACACTTCAAACTGCTAAGAACGTTAAACACAAGGCAACGCAAAGCGTATCTAAAGAGCGAAACCAATCCGGAGATATCTCAGTACTGCGAACTCACGCAGAAATAACAGCTAACAACTGAAAGCACACGGCTGCCGAGAAATGCGTAGTACTTCTCGAAATTACTGGAAGGCATATGAGGGCCGGGTACGGCTACAGCTGCATATAAATCAATTACTATTGTTTAATTACAATACCTATTAGGGTGATATAAGGTCCGGACCCAAATGTCGCAAAATGGTCGCCAAGTTCGACGGATTTTAACGTTTTCTCGCCAATTTTCGCGACAAAAATTAGTCGCCGAAACCGCTGCCAGCTTAGCGATATCTCGCCATTTTGACGAAATAGCTATTTACTCAGTGTTAAGTAGACTGGCCTCGGTATTCGTATTTTTTTCGGCAGAACATCATCTCGCCAGATTTTCATGTTACACTATACAGGAAAACACACCAATTTCTCGTATAATTTCACTAAAATTATCCATATATGTACAAAATTCATAGCAATTAAATAACTCCCACATTTAACAAATCGAAATCATCTTAATGAATGCTTCGATGCAGAACAACAGTAGGTACAGGTAATGAAATTTTACTTTTAAATTGGACAGCAAGAATCAATTTGCAATTTTTACGACAAAAGGCACAATTTTCTACATGAATTTCAAAAAACTAAAACCATACTGCACCTTTATAACAGAAAGATCGTATTCTCTGTGCGTCCTTTCGTGTTGTAAGTCTAGCTAACTTCTACAAGATCCGTGATTCGAAACCGGGTGACATCACAGTTGATTTGTCATACACTGACTACCAATAAGTATTTAGACACCTGTGATAGAAAAGGAAAACTAACTTTATTCAAAATCAATAGTTGGTAGAGCCACCACGAGAAGTAATTACAACGTGGACCATCCGGGGCATACTTTCCACGAGTCTTTGTATGACAGCTAGTGGTATTTTCTTCCACTCAGCTTGGAGAAGACATAGAAGGGCATTGTCGTCCTGAAAGTAACAGGGTTCCAACCCGTAAAACTGCCACAACGTAGGAAGCACATTGTCATCCAAAATAGTGTAGTAGGCATCGGAGTTGAGCTTACCATGAATGGGGACCAAGGGTCCCAGCCCATACCAGGAGAAACACCCCCAGATCATAATTCCACCTCCGCCGAACTTGACTGTTGGCACAATGCATTCTGGCAGGAGACGTTCTCCAGGTAGAAGCCAGACCCAGACCCTGCCATCCGAACGGTAAAGGGTGAACCTTGATCCGTCACTCCAAAGAACCCGTTTCCACTGATCTAGGGTCAAATTTCGATGTGCTTTGCACCACATTAACCGAGCAGCGTAGTTAGACTTTGTGATCAAAGGCTTATAGGCAGCAGCACGGCCATGAAAACCAAGCAGATGTGCTTCCTTACGGATGGTATTCATTGAAACAATACTCCCGGATGCCTGTTGAAACTCCTCGCGGATGAGGGCCATCTGTTGGGTGCGGTTCTTCCGAATTTCTCTGGACAGCACTCTTCGGTCTCTGTCTCCCAGTTTCGTTGGTCTGCCAACTCGGTGCACATTCCGACAATCACCGCTCACCTTCCACTTCTTAATCACATAGGCCACTGTCGATTTTGGGTACTTCAAATCGCTAGATATGTCCCTTAAGGATCGGCCACATTTGTGATACACGATAATTATACCTCTCTCGAAATCAGAGAGCTCCGAACTGCGAGGCATCTTGCATGCGACTAAAGCCGATGCTGTTTCCTACACGATATATACCGGCGGAGTCCGTGACGTACCTTAGGACCGCAGATATCGTCATTTGCATAGGTGTCCAAATACTTATTGGTAGTCAGTGTATTACCTGCTCCAAAATATCTAATGACCTCTACAGTCTTTGCAAACATGTAGAAATAATTAAAGTTTTAGAAACCAGAAGAGTGAATAATTTCGTTCTTTTCCCCTCTGACTACAAAAATTCTTTCTTTGAAAGCATTTAGTTATAAAAAAAAAAAGCAATTATCGTTGAATTCCTACTTTTTAGGTTCAAAAAAGACAGTTTTTATGACGAAAAATATCCCCTCTAGAAAATTTTTTTTTTAAAATAGAAAAAATAATCTTTCTTAAAGACAAGGGAAATTAAAAGAACGACATTTAACTAACATGGTTAATTAATACGAAATTAATACGAAAAATTAATTTGAACACTTACGGCACCAGATGGTTATTCACGGGGTTCAAAACCTTCAGAAGTAATTTTCTGATACACTTACCTAAGCAAAGAAAAGAAAAAACGCTATTAATGAGTATTAGTAACAATAATAACTATTAATAATAACCATCCGGTGGTTATCAATATTATATTAACAAACACCAATAAATAGTAAATAGCATCAAAGGGAATGTGTCGTTTACACTTGAGGCACTGTTGGAACTTCCTAGAATGACTTATTTCCATAATGTTGCATATCTTTTCATCTAATTAAGTGTTATTTTAAATATTTAAAAGGAATATTAAATGAAAAATCAAATTCTCTTGTAGGGATTCAAACTACGGTTCTTCCACTTTCAAAATGAGCGTATTAAACTTATACCAAGAAAAGACGTAAGGGGGACGTAAAATTCTCTTACATTCTTACACTTCTTTTAAAAAGCAACTAAGAAGAGGTACAATAATCAGTCACAGAAATTCCGTTGGTACGGGGAGTTATTGACTGCAACATTTTAATTCTAGCGCTACTCTACATAAGCTGGAAACGTGTGAGACATCAGCTGTAATCCTGCCTGGATTCCAACCATGTTGTCTTTCATTTCCTGGAAGACTACTTATACCACGACAGCACGCACGGAGGAATGCAATTAATTATGCATTAATTATGCATTAATTAATAATGCACGGAGGAATGCATTTTAAACTTCATTACTATACGTAATGGATCTGCAGAGCTAAGAAACCACAAACACTAATCATTCATAAAATCGTTTCACAGAAATGAACAAAACCAGCGATTCTCAACCGATACGCAAAGAAAACAAAGCAAAACAAAAAAGAAACAGTTTTTCACAGACGACTGAGTATTTCTCATTCAATTAATTCAGTTCTGACTTCGAGACAAGGCAAAATTACATAAAAACTCAAAATATCTGTATTAAAAATTACGAAGTAAATTTTAAATACTTATTTCCTCGAAAAAATTCCAGAAAGGATTAAGCATGATTTAATTCGCAATAATAAATGAAGGCGTTATCTTTGTTGTTGCGAAGCTTAGTCTCTCTAGATTGGCAACAAAACCACTATTACGCTGTCTCAAATGTAAACATCAATGGCCGCCATCAAGAGAAGTATTAGGCTTAGCGGCACTTAAACAACTTTAAAATTGTTGATAATTCTAAAAATATTGCATAGAGATTTACTAAAGGCATAAAAACCTTAACCGGAAGATAAGAACAACATAATTCAATTATTTCTAAAGCAAAAAATACACAATTTATCAACGTATAAGAATAAAATTAAAAAATTTAAAAAAGAACTCACTGAGCCGAGTAACAGAGTGGGTATATATATATATATATATATATATGTCATAATAAATGCACAAAGGAAAAACGGAACAGTTTAGATGCGTGATTAGACCCATACTGAAGAAGAATTTGATTGCGTAGTATGCTAGTAATGCTAACTTGGTAATATCTAAAGAACTTGGCAGTCGAAGCAGTTTTAATTCCATTTTTATTTCCAATTGATATTTGAGGCCACAATCACTTGGCACTCTAGTCGTGCCTTTCCACAGAAGATTTACATTTTTGATATTGTTGGGATAGAAAGCAAGCCAGCGAAATTCCATCTTAGCAAAGTAGAGATCAAAAGCTGAAGTGCGTAGTTATGCAAGATGGAAGCACGCGAAGAGAAAAGTTTTGGTTTACAAGGACAGTTTCAGTTCCCAATGGTAACGTCATCAGAGCTGCGCCGATCATAGAGTGATCTAGAAATGACACAATGCAAAGAAGTTATTACAATTTTAGAATAGAGAGGAAAAATTAATGTTTATAGTTTAATCTATAATTTTGATTCATATATTTTTATCTTACATATACATATATATATATATATATATATATATAGTTTTTTTGGTGCGGCCGATTGCAATCAAATAGTGAGATGGACAACTACATGTTATAGCAGTCCTTTACATAAAATTTCAACATTCTGAGGCTAATTTTTGAGCTATGCGAGAAACATATGTAGATACGTTCGTCACAAAAATCACTTCTGAATCCATGTTAAATCAATTTTATAATCCGCTTGGAGAAAAACAATCCTTTATTCGGCCCTTACATACTGATGTCACGCAAAAACATCGTTAAATATGCATTCAATAACGGTCAAAATGGATACTTTCGTTGAACTATGACACTCGGAATTTTTCGTGATTACAATACTTCTTTTACTTCGTACAAGGAAGTAAAAATGAAAACTAAGAGACTAAAATATTTGCATTTTCTAAAAATTCTATAAATAGGCTGCCTACCGATCACCAATTTGTATGATCGCTGAGTACTGGTAGTTGACTGAATACTGATAAAACTGAGTTTATATCCCGGCAAACCGGCCTGCTATATGAGAATTTTGTGGGTCTTTCTCTTATTTAACGTGAAAGCAAGCCAATGCCCCTCAGAAAATCCTTCACTAAGGTGTCTTCTCAATTTCGGCAAGTGTTCTTAATGTAATTATAATAGTTCAATCTAATCCAATCCATAAATATGCCAATATAACTGGAAAAAATCTCTGCGCATTTGGCTAGATGAATACGCTATGAGTATGACCCCTTTTCTGAAGTCCATCTTTAATTAAAATCTTATTAAGTTTCGAAGTTCCATTAAGTTTGATTAGCTGTCTTTCCTCCATTGAACACAATTACTAGAGCGAGATACCGTCGTCTTGGGATGGGGCAGTCAGAAGACGACCTTGGGCTAATCACCTAACGCGAACATCTCCCGTAATTCTAAAACTACACACGTGATTGATTATTACCAAAGCAGGTGAGGACATGAGTAAATTATTGTATACACGGAGGTAAAGAACCTGAGATTTAAGATAAATTCTGAATCTGCAGTAAACCTAAAACTTGCTCTTCAGACAGTATGAAAATATACGCATGTTTTCGGTGTAGTTAAACGTGTTATACGTTCTTTCTGAATAATATATGCATGTATAACAATATACGCCGTGAAGGCAGAATGGTTGCAAAAATATTTAGGTCCATAAACGAATCCTATGCTTTTTTTCTGGTGTGGCATACGTGCCTAGAACTGCAGTTCAGGCAGCATAGATCCGAAAATTTATTCTCATCATTTTTAGCAGATAAATGCAGACGTTTTTCCTCCAATTATACACATATATATTTTCGAAATCTTGCTACCTCACGTCAAAAGACATTTACTTGTGGCAAGAGATCATTTAGTGACATAAGCTTTGTTTTCGATGCGAGTTAAATGATCTAAGTCGGAGGGTCTCCAACTTTGCACCCGCCCGTCAGGCGCCCGCTGTTCTGCGACAACAATAAATAAATTATGTAAGTTTTCAACCCTCCGAGCGTTACGAGTTTAGCCCTGAAATTTCAAATGTTCAAATTGAAATTTCAAGTTCTTCAAAATGTCATGAATAAGTGGCATTTTCTTGATTTTAATTAAAAAATGAATCTCTCATTTTTGTACCTTGATTCATTTTCTTCCAAAATACATCAAAACCGAAATCAAATACATTAAAAGCTAGCAGAAATTTTCATTTGTAATGAATATAGAAGGCAGCCTTCTATACGGAATTTTCCTGCCGTAACGCTGAGAGGGTTCTAAATGTTATATATATTTTTATAATTATAGAGAAATATAAGCGTATTTAATAAAAAAATTATTTGTTTATAATTATATGGTTATTATTTTAAATGAGCTTAGCAGATGTCCTGGTCTGACCAAAAAATTGTGGCAGTTTGAAGGTGTGGTCCCGGGTAGTTTGTCATTTTGTCCCGGTTATTTGTTAAAATTTAAAAATGTCAAATATGCATACATTAAACATATTTGTAGTGCCTATTCGTACTGTCTTACTTTGCATATCTTATCGAATTGCATAAAAAGAACTGAACTGAAAGAAAAACTACTGCTTCTAGATAAAAATTCAAATCTTATACAGCAAATACGAAAGCGTATACGTGTGTTTAGGCGAAGCCAGCAGAAAAACAGGCTTTATAAGCGCGTGGAGGGTAAGAGGAATTGCGTTCGGTAGCACAACTCGGCGAATTTCTTGGGGTCATCTTGAAGCAATCGGTTAAATTCACATCGGAACAGTAAAAATGAGTAACCACCAACGTTTAGATGATGGATTGAGGTGACAAATTGTGGGGAGGCTAGAGGCAGGCCAATAGCAAGTCCATATATGAAGAGAGTTTAATTTAACGTCCAACGTCGTGTGTAACCTATGGAAACAGTTCCGGGATACTGGATCTATCGAGAGAAATCCTGAGCAAGGTCGTCCAAGAGCCACGACGGCCAGAGAAGATCACTATTTGTCCATTTTAGCAAGGCGTAACAGAGGGGCTACAGCTTCTCAGCTCTCTCGGGACATGTATGCAGCCACAGGAACTCATGTAACAACGGTGACTGTTTCCAAAAGACTGAATGAGAGAGGGTTGTTTGCCAGAAGACCAGCTGTTGCGTCCCGCTCACGTCTACGGACAGGAGAATCCGATTAGCATGGTGCAGGCAGCATAGTGATTAAAGTACGAAGCAACGGACGACCGTTGTCTTCACCGACGAGTCCCGTTTTATCCTAAACACCGATTCTCGACGTATTTTCATATGGAGAGAGCCAGGGACACACTTTCTACCCTCCAGTGTCCGCGAAATCAACAATTATGGTGGTGGCGGTGTAATGGTCTGGGCAGGCATCATGTTGGATGGCCGCACACTTCTCCACGTCTTTGACAGAGGCCCTGTGACTGGTGTGAGGTATAGGGATGAGGTCTTGGAGCCCTATGTTCGCCTTTTCCGGGGTGCAATGGGCCCCGAGATCATCTTACAGGACGATAACGCGAGGGCACATAGAGCACATCTGCTCCAGGAATTTCTCGAGAGTGAGGATATTCGCCGGATGGATTGGCCAGCCAGGTGTCCAGACCTCAACCCCATAGAGCATGTGTGGGACACTCTGGGGAGAGCAATTGCAACTCGTAATCCCCTTCCGAGGACTATCCAGGAACTGAAAACAGCGTTGCTGAAT